CAGTGGGTATGGTCGTATGTGTTTTCATCCACATGATCCAACACCTAAATAACTCCATACCTAGGGAGATCATTTCAGCATATAAGGTAGGTACACCGGAACTCTCCCATGTTACCCAAAGGGGACCAGAGAAAGTATAGACGGAGATCCAAAAAATCGAGGGACTAAGGGTATCTAGGTAGGTACCTCTAGCTACCTAGGCTCGTCTGGTAATGTTGTAAGTCCCGTGAGTGCTTTCCTTCCTCCCCCTTCAACACCTCGAAGATCAGCACCCACCACACATGCTGAGACGCTTGAATCAGCACGGGAGGGAGACAAGTTGGTTCTGCGCAGATACTTTATCTCCCAGCACGGTTCCAAGAGGCATGAGCGGGGGGTGGGTTTCATAGGTGGCTGGGTGAAAAACATGTAATTTCCAGCATCGACGAGGGCCAACATCGAAGAGATTGAAAATGGAGGGGAGAGAGTAAAGAGTCTGAAAGGCAAGGGACAATTTCCAGCAACAACGAACACAACCAAGCAACGAAGCAGCGAAGAAGAAGAAAAAAGGCAGCAAAAGACAACACAGCAACAACAATCAAGGCCAGGTGTGGAAGGGTGATTGGCAAGTAGTTTTAGATCTAGTATCCTACTAGTTAGGACTGGACTAAGGCGAGGAGAGATTAGAACTAGTCCACTTGATGTTTTTGCCTCTTACCACCTTTGCCCACCCATTGTAAGTAGTACTCTTACTTCATGTTAGCCAACAAATACTTCAACCCGGCCCACGCCTCGACACCACTCGGCAGAATTTGCGCAGCAGGCAAGACGAATCCGTTAGCGCCGGTATCTCTGAGCTCCAAAGTGAAGGAGTAATCAGCACCCGTAACATCGAGCGCGTAGTCGACGGAGGAGCCGGTGGTCTTGTAGATGGTGGAGCAGATGGGGCCGTAGTTGAAGGTGGTGCCGTAGACGGCCTTGATGGCGGCGACGGCGCCCTTGGCGAGAGCCTGGTACTCGGTGTTCTTGGTGGGGACGGCGGAGCAGGTGTAGCCGTAGGCTGTTTGAAGTGTTAGTCGAGGGACTGAAGAAAAAGAAGGAAGTGAACAGAAACATACGAGACATAAACAACTGCGAATACGAATGCCAATCAATAAACAGCTTCAAGCCCTGGGCAGCCTTGATCTTGTTCAGGGTAGCAGCAAGGGCGGTAGTCTCGGGAGCGTCGCTCTGCTTGGCGCCCTTGTAGTCCTCGGCGCAAGGGGAAGTGGAAGCACCGCCCGAGGCGGACCACTGGATGGGCCAGTTGCGGTTGATGTCGCGGCCGATGCAGGTGGAGCCGGAGTTGGTCTGGCGGTTCTTGCGCCACAGGCGGGTGGTGGTCTGGGTGAAGATGAAGCCGTCCGGGTTGACGATGGGGAAGACGTAGAACTCGTACTTGTCGACAAAGGCCTTGACGGAGGCGTCGGTGGCGTAGTTGGACAGGAGGTACCAGGCTTGGTACTCGGTGACCTGGTGATGTGTTAGTTGGCTTCTATTCTATGAGAGACGAACGACTAGGGTAAAGAAAGAAAGGCATACCATGGTGGTGATCCACTCGCGCGCATGCACGGTACCGTGGAACACAATGGCGGGCTTGACGCCCTTGCCGGCGCTACCCCAGAAACGGATACCGGTGATGGTGTTGCCGTTGTTAGAGGTGCCCGAGGTGACAATCTCGGACTGGCTGGGGTAGGAAGTCACGAGATCCTTGAGGAAGGTCAAGTGGTCGGCATAGGCGTGGTACGAGTTGAACCAGCTCTGGTTGGCGGTGCCGGCATAGGCCTGGAAGCCGGACTCGTCGGCGATGGAGAGACCGAGATCCTCGTGCATGGTGAGGGTCTCGAAGCCCGCGGCCTGAGCCTTGAAGGCAGCGAGCTTGGTGGGCGGGATGACAACGTCGGCGTGGCCGCCAACCTTGGCCGCACCCTTCCAGGTCTCGAGGTCGAGATCGGCGATGATCTTGTTCAGCTTGGCGGCATCATCACCGGCGGCGATACGGAGGACCTTGTAGCCATCGTACGAAGTCCGCTTGGGGCGGGCTTCAGAGCGGATGGCGGTGGCGGAGGCAAGGCCCAGGAGGGCGGTGAGGATGGAGAGGGACTTCATGGTGGTGGAGGTGGTGGGCTTCGAGATGCTGCGTTCTCCGTCACTGCCTTCTTCCTCTTGATCATGATGGCGGTCGATGGGTCCTCGGCCATCTTATAGTTGTCCATTGTGTACGTGAAAGGTCTGGATCAACATCAGCGTCGTGACTTCCGAGCTAGGTAGAGTAGGTGATAGAGTGGATAGTTGAGGTAGGTAGCAGTCGATATCGAGGTCAAGCTCGAAGGGGAAGGTGTTTGATGGGCCAAGTAACCGGCCTCCATCCATGGTCGGCATCTGGATAGACGCATTTTGGTAAAGGTGATATGCATAAGATCTCGGTAGCACTTCCGTACCGCGGTTCGCCTCGTTCGCCTCATACTATCACGAGACTCCCATTGGCCGGGTAAGTGCTCAACTTCAGACAACCACCCTTTCGTTTGTTCCTTGCCCCTAGAATTCCCCTTCAGACGGTATTTCCAAACCTGGCTCTTCAGTTCGCCGGGCGGTGTCTCTCGCACCCGTCAACCGGGAAGGGCAAGTCGTTAACAGGGACGATTGCTTGGATTGGTACCTTTTGATCGGCACGGTTTGGTTGCATCAAGTCTCCCCCTCCGTCCTGCATTCGCGGCATGACCTAATCCGGAAGGTTGTGATGCCATTTCATGCTCTTTGCCCGCCATGGCGCTGCATTATGCCATCTTGTGTTTCTCTGGTGTTGGTCTTGGTCACAGCAGCCCAACGTTAATGCCAAGCGGTAAGATAGGTAGTAAAGATGGCAGAGATGGCTGGCCGATACCTTACTCTTTGCTCCAGTCAAAAATTGACTCAAAACTTAGGTAGCTAAGGTTCCAGAACCCATGCCACCTACCTACCTCCCCCATGCTCCCCCATGTTTAAGCTTGGATTTGACGTAGCATTGCTTGGCAAGATCGAGAAGGTTGCAACGGGGCATCGCATGAGTCTATCGACAATCGTTGCCCAGCAGGGAGCATGGGTGTGTCCAGAAAGAAGCAGAGAGAGGAAAGGCGACATTTCCCCCATGTGTTTGCGATCGCACAAGTTTTCCGCACATGCTGGCAATAGATTGGCTTGATTGTCTCTGTATCACCATCTCAGCTTCCTGTTCTGGCAACAGCTATGGTATAGCCTCATCCCCTGAATTTTTGAGGGAGAACCAAGGCTCTTGCCCCGTGTCGCGTGTGCCATGTTGACATGTTGGCGTGGGGTTTCTGAATCTTAGGTGTGATGCCGCGGTAGGCATTATTGTATGTATCGTGATGTTGGGCCTGGACCTTGATGGAATCCGATATTGGCCATGCCCTAATCCAATGAGCGAGCCATGGGAAAATGAGATTAAATCGCGGGGAGGGGAAGGCAAGGAGCTATCGTGACATGGCGTAGGCAGAGGCGGGGTACGAGGCGCGTCGGGTATGGGCAAAGAAGATGGAAAACGCAAGAAAGGAGAACATGTAACTGTATCCTGAAGCCGTCAGCGTCTGAAAAAGAATTGTTGTCAAGTTAGTTGCGGGATGACAGATGGAACGGAAGCTGAGTGAGTGCTGGCGTTGTGGTTGTTGGCGTTTCAGCGGTTGTTGAACGAGGTACAGAGTGGGGTCCGGCAGCTGTAATGGAAGCTCGGTGAGCGGCTAGGTGACTTCATGTCCGTGGTCTGCGGTCTGCGGTCTGCGGTCTGGACTTTCGACTGCCAAGAACAAGCGGATAACCCCAACCCTCACATAAAAACTTTGGAAGATTTTCCACTTGACATCAGAGGCATCACATTGTCTTCGAATCACCTTGCTGTTTTCTTCCATATTCATACTAGTACTTATCATACGTTTCCACTTATATTCTGCGCTTTACGCCATGACAGCTTCTTCGTGACTGCTTCTCACCTACCCGCAATCCAAGTGTAATGGAATTCGGCCTCTCTGCTAGACTCCACCCACTCGGGATTTTAAGGTTTGCCAAGCCCCCCGAAACCCTTTGAACCCCTTCCTCCGATCCCGTTTCTTCTCCGAGTCACATTATCGTCCAAGTTGAAAACACAAAACACCAACTTCTCTTCTTCCACGCTGTCGTTAGGCTTTGGTTTTTGATTCCCACTAGATTACAGAGGTACCACAGGTAAAGACAGGCTTTGTTCAATCATTATGAATGAATCCCGAACCAGCCTTGCTCCGTCCCAAGGGTGCCGACCCGACCGGAAACCCGAACGCCCTCAAATCAAAAATAAAACTGCTGCTGAGGTGGCTGGCCAGGTGGTGGATGGGCTAGGAAGTCGAAATTCATTGTGTCTACGCCGGTGTTGAAGGGGTCGGGGGATTCTATTCGCGGAACCCGAGCATGGTCAGCTAAAACCAATACCGATTTTTTTTTTTAAAAAAAAAGCGGAGGGAGGGAAGAAGGGAAAAGGAAAAGAACAAAGAAGAAAGACTAACCCCAGAATATGGAATCATATAGATCCATCGGCGACATATAAGTAGCCGGATCAAACTGCGACATATTCTGCGGCGGCATTCCACCTACACCACCCTGACTTGGGGTGGCAGCGGCACCGGGTGGTTGTTGGAGAGGTGGCATGTTATATGGTACCCTGTTTCTCTCTTCGTTAGCACCCTTCCTTTCGTCTTTCCTGCACCCCCACTCAGGTACGCGACAGAAGGAAGACATACCCTTGATACTCCCCCGCCGCACCCATCTGCTGCTGTCCCTGTCCCCCGTTCTGATTCTGCTGCTGCATCTCCGCCATAGCCAACGCAGCACTCTGATGCGGATCCAACGGTTGTTGTTGTTGACCACCTGTCGCTCCTCCCATCTGCTGCTGTTGCATCCCTGGTCCTCCTGCTCCTCCTCTTCCCTGTTGGTCCTGCACTTGTCCCAAACCATACAGCGGATACCCATTAGGAGGGAGCCCCGCAAGCTGGTTAATCTGCAACGACAACGGCGTCCTCGTCCCCGAGCCAGGGCCGGAAATGCTTCCCTCGCGCTTAATCCCCGTCGGTCCGACGACTGATCCATGGTCGTAGATGTTTTTGAGGGCAGTCAACGCGCGGCTCAACGGGCCGGAGAGCTCGATATCGTGATCGGACCTCGGGATATGCGGTTGCGGCGAGGTTTGTTCCTTAGCTGCCGTGGCGGACAGGGCCGAGATCAAATCACCCTGGAGCTGGCGAACTTCCGGGTCGGCTTTGGTTTCCCCCAAGATGCCGAGCAGGACGGCTGATGACAGGCCGTGGTAAGTAAACGCCCAGGAGCGCGTGGGAATTACCGAGAGCTGATGCATGGCGAGGAACATGCGGACTGTTTCTGTCAGGTTCTCCTTGCATTTGTCGGCCAGGTATTTCTTTTGGGATTTTTCAAGTCGACTATTTTCGCGCTGAAGGGCGGGCCGACAACACACAGAGACAATGAAGGAGGTGTGCAGTCTGATGGCGTAGTGTTGGAGGCGGTCCATGGCGGATTTGCAGGCGTCTTTTGTGCGGAGTTGTACAATGAGCTTGTCTCGTATGCTTTCCACGTCGGCGCAGTTGGTGAGGATTTGCGTGTAGATGGCCGTGGCTGCGGCGTCGGGATTGAGGCGCTGCGAGATGATTTGGCAGAGATGATACATGGCCTCGAGGTAAGACCAGCCTTCTGTTTCGGCGGTCGGTGAAAGAGGAATGGGACAACAGGCAATGTTGGTCATTGGTGATCGGTCAAAGGATAGTGAAGTGAGCGTGTCGTGCCAGAGGCAAGTCCACCTGGGGAGAGTTAGTATTAGTTTAGGGGTGGAGTGGAAAAGCTCGAGTAATCTTACCAGAGTCTCCTCCTCGACATTTCCTTCTTCACAATCTCGGCTGACTGACGGCCGTCAAGAACCTGTGGACGGTGGAGGCCAAGGGACTGCGCCAATCGACATGTAAGTCCAAGCAAAGCCCAGGAAGCTTCTGCTTTCATGTCGTTGAGTAATACGAAGCTTGTCATCATCATGGCTTGTATTGAGTCAAGGTTTGGCCTAGGCACTGTTAATGGGCGGCCGAGTAAGTGATATTGAACCAACGCATAACATACCTCAACAAAAAGTTACCAAGCCTAAGAAAATGGAAAGAGATCTGGATGTACTTTTGCGCATCTCTCGTTCGGATATGGTATGGGGTCTCGTGGTACTGGGAGCCGACTGCAAGGACGGCGAAAAGAATGGCAAGCCATGATGCAGAGACAGGTTTCGTAGTCTTGGTCGCAGCCCTGGCGTTCTTTGCTCTATCTTCGAGATAGATCATCAACCGGGACTCGACGTCGTCGATATCGATAACGAAGCCCCAGAATGGCTGGGGTATTTCCTTGTAGGTTCGAAAAAGCCTAGAGTGTGTAAGTCCATGTTTTTATCTCAAGATGTCATGTTAGGAGGGGTGAAAATGCGCACTTCATGACCTCCCGGTCGGATGGCAGTTCGGATGATATGTCGGACGTCAGCCTGTCCAGATGTCGGGAGGACATGAGCGGAAAAGGGGCCGAGTTATCGAGCCCCAGTAGGGAACGCATGTCTTGGCGTATGTAGTTTACGTCTTGTGGTTCATCGGTTGCGGCGGTTTGTTCCCTTAGAAGTGCTGGGATGCTATTCTGGCCAACATAACGGGTGATCTCCACGGCTTCGGGCTCTAATAGGATGGTTAGATGAGATCACTAACCTTGGGAGAAATGCATGGGAAAAGAGGGCTGTATGACACACCGTATGTTCTTATTGATTCACGGGCCTCATGGCTCAAGCTCCGTCCTTCTTGAGCGTCTGGTGAGTGCGGTCTCTTCTTGGTGTGAGAGAGATCAGTCGAAACCGATGATGGTTTTCCGGTTGCTGACTTGTTTGGCTTGTAGGAACAGAGCTGTGGGTGTTCCCGCTTGACGCAGTTTTCACATGGACTCTTGTTGTCACACTTTACTTTTCTCTGTCTGCAGGGCCAGCAGGCGGTACCTGTGAAGAGATTAAGGTAAATACTAAGCAACCTCTCGATGACAGGAACGAATGTCAAGCATTGATGAGTAGGGCAAGGTAATAGTTGTGTCTAGAACCAGAGTTGAGGTGCATGCCGGGAGGTCATGGTCACGGACATGAGAACCGGACTGCTGGGACCGGACCCGGAAGCGTGGGGGAGGTTGGGGGCAATGCGGCCATGGTACCACAGCCTCAAAAGTGAGAAGGACACGAGGTTACATGATATCCAGAAAGTGGACAATGGATAATCATGATGTAGCTGACGATGATGACATGATAACAAAGGAAAGACCCACTTACCATATCGGACCTTGCGGTGGGAATGGATGATGCGGTTGGCCTCCTCAGGAGTAAGATCCTCGAGGTTGGGACTCTCATGGGAGTCGGACATGGACATGGCCTTTGCTGTAGTACTGTATATGACTATATGATGAGGGCTATACGAGTCGGGGCTGGGGCGGAGACGGAGGCGGGACGTGGTAAGCCTTGGACGGGATGAAGGCCGGAACGGGGAACGGGGAACGGGGTCCGCCAGACCACCATCCGAGCACTTGTTCCTTACTTTGAGAATAGCCTCTCTCTCCGGACCAGTCGTCAATCGTCACTCTTTCCCCAGTGCGGATGACTCCAACTCCGACGACAAAGCGAATCCGAGGATAGTGTAGACGGTAGTCTCGGGCTATCTCCGAGCGCCCTATGAGCCTCTGAGCCTCTTGAGCGTATGCACAACTGCAACGGCGAGCAGCCAGTCGGCAGCGCCAAGGGCTTTGGGATTGGTGGATCCGCGGCTATTCGAGGAGGACGGGGACCGGGAGGGAAAGGGATTGACTTTTTGATGGATTCGGGAAAGGGGGTCGAGAGGGGTTGAGTGAGAGAATATGGGGAGGGGGGGAATACCGATGCAAATCCGAAGGGAGGACACTCTGGGTGATAAAAAGAAGCCGAGAAAGCTTTTGCAAGATGGGCTAACCCGTGGCCGTGGGTATGAGGGGTCTCCGTTGACAGACCCTATTCGGAATTGGCGGAATGGGAACCTACCATACCCGACTTGTGCTGCAGTCACAGTGGCGGATTTTGTTGGCGGCGCAGATGGGCACGGATCCGCGATGGATTATTGGATGGCTAGCCCCGGCTTCCGTTGACGCGCCTAGTCTCAATAGTGTAGGTACAGTTAGAAGGTTTTAGGGGTCTCGATTCCTCTCTGGTCTCCGGGCATGCTCATTTTTCTACACGGTCTGCCTTGCTTGTCCGACAGTCCTCGACATCTTCCACAACAAATATTCACCGGCAATGTGATCAGTTCTTTCAATCAAAGTTTGATTTCTTGGTTGACAATCCGTCTTGTACCGAGATCGATTTCTTCTTATGTCCCGGGCTTCTCTCATGCCCATGCTAGCTTCACTGTGTAGTAGGTCCGAATAGGTTTGTTGGCGGTGCCAGTTCAGGGTAGACTAGGTAATAGGGAGACAGGGTACAGTCTCTCGGGAACAGACTACCAAGCCTTGTGTGACATCATTGTTAGTCCACTCACTGGTCCTCAGTTTCGTCTGATACCTATGTGTTGAAGAGAGCGGTGGGAGGCTGGGAGCGTTCGAGATTGTATCAAAACTTTCCAAAGGTTCGTTTTCAGTTATTGGTGCAAGCTGGCACGGAGGAGTTGATGTTTCTGGTTGCTGGAAGTCGAGACAATTACAAAGTCTTGGTTGGCGGGCATGCACATCGACATGTCGGCCTGCAGCTGCAACAAAAAAAGCCCCAGTGCCTGTCCAAATTGTCAAGGCATGGAATCCGTCCAATGGCATGTCACAAACGGTGAGTGGATCATAGGCGATTCAAATGTAGCAGCGGAAACATCTGTCCTCGAGCGTGCCCCAAGTAAAACTTTCCGTTGAAAGCATTTTGCGTATGTATGAGATCTTGACTTTAGTTAGGCATATGTATGTACAAAGTGCGTACAGTGTAGCTGACAGCTGCCTGTAACGATGTATTGACACGTGTGTACTCTCTACAGCGAATTCATTTTCTGTAGCCCCGCCTTTTGGTGTCCCCATCCCACTTGCCATGCCAGCGGGAAAGAACCAGGACCTCACAAAAAGCTGACAGGGCACCTGCGCTGCCTGGACTTTGCGGGCCGTTCCTTCTTGACCGTGCCAGGCAGCAGACCGGTTGGTTCGTGTTCCTGGAAGTAACGAAGGCGATTTAAAGAGACGGATTAAAAGAACCCCATTTTGGAACCTCGAATCTTTCCTCTCTGTGTTCAGACGAAAACTCTCCAAGCTACAACCAAGGATGTCAAATCACAGAACCCGTCACCGTTCAGCATGTTCTCTCATGCCGACAACCTTTTGTGTCTTCCATCCGGTCCCTCCCCCCCCCCCCCCCCCCC